GAGATCAAGCGCACAGCAACTGAGCTGATGCAAGTTAGCCAGAAGGAAGGGGAGTCTCTGAGAGATTACATGCAGCGGTTCAACAAAGCCACATTGGACATTGATAATGTCCCGGACACAATCTGCCTGTCCGCCCTGTTGCATGGGTTGAAGCGTGGCCGGTTCCTAGACAACCTGCTTGAAAACCCACCGAAGACGTGGAATGAGGTGAATGACAGGTCGGCCAGCTTCATACTGTCAGAGGACTTTCAGTCGTCCAAACGACGAGCTGATGATAAGCCGAACAGAAGCCAAGAACAACAACCGAGAAAAGAAGAAAAGAAGAAGCAGAAGGTCGGTGAACAATGGGGGAAACTAGCTGAGTTCCCAAAATATGCCAGTTACATTCCTTTGACCTTACCCAGGTCTCAAATCCTGGCACAAATTCAGCACTGGGTTCAGAGACCTCCACCCCCACTACATGATTCCCCGAGGGCAGATAAGAGCAAACATTGTGACTACCATCGTGTATATGGTCACAATACCGAGGATTGCCAACACTTAAAGGACGAGTTAGAGTTTTTGGCTCGTAACGGGAAGCTAGAAGGGTATGTTCAGAAGCCTCACACCCAGCAACCCACTCAAACCCATTTTGTGCAGGCGTATGACCGACCTCAAGGACAGAGGTACCAGCATGGAGGGACGCAGGATGCGTATCTGGATAACCAGTATCCTTCTGAACAGAACAGAGCGTACCGAGGACGTCCTTTCAACAGGAGAGGGCAGGGACCGAGGACTACTGCCCCGAATCAAAAAGACAGAAAAGGGGTAGGTTATGCTGGGATACCACCACCTTCTGGTACAATAAACATGATATCGGGTGGTGTTCACTCTGGGGGCCAAAGCGCCCGAGCTCGCAAGGCATATGCCCGACAGGTGATGACCGTCAACAAAAACAGACCCTTGAAACGGCCGTTTGAGGAAGCAGAATGGGAAAATATGCCCATCACATTTAGCCCGGCGGATTACAAACGAGCAGAAGGAGAGTCTGACATTATGATGCCCCATGCAGATCCCTTTGTGACAACAGTTCATATAGGCAATCATAATGTCAATAAGGTGTTTATTGACACTGGCAGTTCGCCAGATATCCTGTATTGGGGTTGTTTCTAGAAGATGCAGCTAAATCCGAGCTCGCTGCAAAAGCATGAAGGACCAATTTACGGATTTGATAATCAGCCCGTCCCTGTGGAGGGAGTTATTACTCTCCCTATATATGTAGGCTCAGAACCGCGCTTCAGGATGGCTTCGGTCACCTTCCTGGTCGTTAAGATGGAATCAGCTTTCAATGCTATATTAAGAAGAGCCACCCTGTGCAAGCTGAAGGCTGTTATCTCACAGCCCCATCTCTGTATGAAGTTCCCAACTCCGCAGGGGGTGGGAGTGTTGAAGGGGAACCAGAAGATGGCCAGAGCATGCTATCAGGATACGTTTAAGAAGGTTGAGCTCGCTGCAGCCCCTGGAAGATCTGAAAGTAGTAGGCCGACTCAGCCCGGCCGGCAGACAATGAGCATATCAGACATTGAGCATCGACCTGAGAGCGTCGAGCAGAAGGCA